CACAGCCTCACAGATACCGATAGGTATGGCAGTTGATTTGTCAGCCATTTGCAGAGATATTTCAGTAGGTGTGAGTTTATTCAAGTCAAGTCTTTTATATAAAGAGAAAGGCATAACACTAACACCAGCTCCTAAATCACACAAAGCGGTTTTCACATAATTCTTTTTGATAGAGCAAGGTATAGTTAGTATTCCCGGATCTCCAAGTTTTTTAGGTACTCCATCTTTAAAAGTGTAATTAGCAAGCATAGTAGATTTCAGCTTCCGGTATTTTTCTCTTATTTGTGATGATGCCTTTCATATATTTTGCATAAGGAGGCATTTTCAAGATAGCAGTCAAGCGAGTACGCAAAAAGACTGGCCTCAGCATTTCGGCAAAGCATTCAAATTCTTCATCATCATTCTTTTTAGTTGACTTGGGTGAAAAAGGCATAGGTTTTTGAACCCACGGTTCTCTTTCTTTACCGTGTTTTCTAGCAATGAAGTCTCTTTTGTCATATCTTTTATTTTTAGCTCGTGGGTTATCAAGATCAACAGGTGGTTCTATCTCAACATCATTATCTGGTTCTTTATCATTGGTTGGTTGAGTGTCTTTATGAACCTCAGCATTATCTTTTTCATTATCACTAGGTGAGTGTTCATTACCAGATTGAGTTTCGGCATCTGAGATAAAATTTTCATTATCATTATCAGGAGGTTTTTCTATTTCAGGTTCACTAGGAGTGTGCAAAGTCCTATCATTTTTATTTTTCTTCCTAGAAGTACTAGGTGCACTAGTGTTAGTTCTTTGTGAATCTTGTTCAATTATTTTTGGGTGTCCCTCAGGATAAAGTAGTTCCTGAGTCATTTTACCTCCTCTAGTTGCAACTCTAACAGAAAAGTCATTCATATTATCATTCATTTCATCAAGCAATTCTCTTTGAGATTTAGCAACTTGTTCTAATTGAGTTTGAACCATAGAATCATGTTTTCCAACACCTCTAACATCATTTGATATTCTAAATAACAAGTCACTCAAGCGGGCAATCATATCACAATTATATTTCAATTGTTTCATAACATTTGCATTGAAGTGATCTTGTTTCCTAATGTAGTTTTCAAACTCATAAAGGCATTGACTAGGATGCATATTGTGAGGATTATCATTATCATTGAACTTCATAAGATAATTTTCCTCTACCACCTTAGGCAGTGGTGGTGTATTAAGCCCATGTATTTCTTCAATAGGAGGTAAACTTTTAATATCATCAGCTTTAATACCTTTTTCCTTCATAGATTTCTTTGCCTCTTGCATATCTTCGGGACTGAGATATAATATACCCCTCTTCTTCGGAGTGGGTTTAGGCGGTGGTTCAGGAATAGTCCAATCATCATAATTTTTCAATATGTTATTCAATAATTCAGTTCGTTCCCTGAAAACACAACCAACACAACTATCTAGGAAGTCCCTAGAAGCATCGGTTAGTCCATTATAGAAGATATCAAGTATTTCATTTTTCTTAAGAGGGTGATCAGCCAAAGCATGAAGTAACTGGCAAAGCCTCCCCCAAGCTTGTGGGAGACTCTCTTCTTTAGTTTGAGCAAAATTGAATATTTCCTGTAAGGCAGGTTGTTTCTTATGAGCAGGAAAATATTTTTCATAGAAGTAATAAATCATATCCTCGGGACTACGCACACAACTAGGAGCAAGAGTATTGTACCAAGCTTTAGCATCACGCTTAAGTAGGGATTACAGCGGGGTGCGGGAGAGTGGACCGCGTAAAAGAGATGAAGATGGTGATGATGATGGTGATGTTGATGAAGACGATCACCGCGGCGATGATTTGCCTCTCGATGGCACTTCGGTGCCACCGAGAGAGAGGAGGAGAGGTTCTCCCCCTTGTGATTCCTCCTCCATGGCCTCCCCCTGGATGGGGAGAGGTTCTCCCTCTGGTCCTTGGCCTTCATGGTGATGATGGCCCCTCCGGGATCCTCCTCCATAGCCTCCGGTGATGATGGCCCCCTCCGGCAGGGTGCCAGAGAGCGCCTAGATTGATTTCTCGTGGCTACAGAGGCTTGCGGCAGCAGAACTTCCGATCTAGGTTATTTTCCAGAGGTTTGGGCATTTATAGGAGAGGTTGGCGTCGAGAACAAGTCAGGGGCCCCCACGGGAAGTCCACGAGGCACAGGGGCGCGCCTAGGGGGTGGGCGCGCCCCACACCCTTGTGGGGCCCATGGGACTCCCATCCGGTAGATTTTTGTTCCAGTATTTTTTATAGTTTCCAGAAAAATTCTCCATTGATTTTCATCGCATTTCGAGAATTTTTATTTGTGCACAAAAATAACACCACAGTAGTTCTGCTGAAAACAGCGTCAGTCCGGGTTAGTTCTAATCAAAGCATACCAAAATCATATAAAACTATTGTAAACTTGACATGAATACTTCATAAATTATAGATACGTTGGAGACGTATCAAGCCGGAAGGGATCCGCTTGGATCCGCTCTGCCTGAGCATCCAAGACAGCCCATTCTGCAGCCATCCTAGCGTTCTCAGCCGCCAGCTCTTCCTTGGCTTGAGCTATCTCATCTCGCATCTTAGCCACATCCACCTTGTGTTGTTCTTGGTTGTCCGGGGTTACTTCCACCCCCATCAGATTCGCCAGAGCCTCTAACAATTCTGTGAGAACTTGAGCCGGCGGGCACGCAGAGCCGCTAGCACCAGCCACCGCCGCAGCCATTGAACAGGAGGTCATAGCCGCGGCAGTTGTTGAACCAAGCGTCGGTTGTGTGCCGTCCATGAAGATCGCAACCCTGTTCGACGGCTCGTAGGGGTCCGGAATACTGTCATCATCGAAATAGCCCCCAAGCCGGTCGTCTTGCAGTTGATACAATGAATTAGTCTTGCTTGTGGACGACTCACCATCAGAATAGATGGTCGTCTCACTGCTAGACATAGATCCGTCTTCATTTTCCGCCCCATGGATGAAACCAACAAAGGCACGCTTCACTGCGGGTTGAACTCGGGTGGGTCGCGCACGCTGAGCTGTCTCGAGGATGTCGGTGCAGATGTCCGGCTCAAGGCCCGGTTCGCCGATCTTGCCGATGAAGACGTGGATTCCGCCGAAGGGGACCCGGTACCCGTACTCGATTGAGCCGGCCTCGGTGCCCCAGCCTGCATCGTCAATGTAGAGCTTCCCGCGACGACTCTTGGTCATCCAGCCCACAGCGTATCCCTTGATCCCTTTAAAGTTGCCCTGTAAGAACTCGAAACCACCGTGCGCTGGCCCCACGGTGGGTGTCAACTATCGTGGATTTGTCACGGCAGATGTCCTAGCGGAAGGACTTAGTCGTGGAGCCATCGCAACTAGGTTAGCTTAAAGGGGTTAAACGGGACAACGGACACATGGAGTTTATACTGGTTCGGCCCCTTGCGGTGAAGGTAAAAGTCTACCTCAGTTTGGGATTGTATTGCTAGGGTTTCGATTACCAGGGAGCGAATACGCTTGACCTAGTTCTCGATCTCTTCCGGGTCACCCCTTTATATACATAGGCTGATGCCCAGCGGCCCACAGAGTCCCGGCCGGCTTATACACAACGTGTCCGGCTCGGTGACAGAATCTATACTTTCCTTAACATACAAGTTAACATATGGCGGTTTACATCCGTGGGCCTCAAGTCGCCTTTGGGTCTTGGGCCTTCAGTAAGCCTGCTTCGTGAACCGCCATCTTCAACATCTTCATGGGCCTTGTCATTATGAACCGCCAGTGGTATGACCCGGCCCCTCCTGGGCAGGTCATACCCAATAGTTATATCCCCAACAGGCGGCCTGTGCCATGGCCGGACTGTCACCGAAGGAGGAGAAGGAGGACATCGACGGCGACAAGCAGATCCGTACTGCGTCTTCGACCGGTACTTCCACGACAAGGATGGCAAGGGCACCGGGAAGGGCAAGGGCAGCCGTGATGAACTCCACCATACCCAAACATGCTAAATTTTGGTAGTCTTTTTGGTTACTAGTGATGGAGTAGTTGGACGATGTGTGCATTGACGTAGTTTCATGAGTTTGTATGGATTTGAGTTATGATAATTGAGGTGTCCGAACATGGATTACATTATTTGAAGGATATTCGGGCAGTGTCCGCGGGCATTTGAGGGGCGGATTCTTTGGATCCATTGGTATAGCCTGGACTTTGGCTGCAGTAGATCGACTGGGGAACTCTGAATAAAAGAGAAAGTAGTCAGCAGGGACTGGAACTCCACTTCGTCTGTGTATCGCTCTACGGCGAGACAGCCCACAAGGTAAGTAGCAAGGGGTGTAACAAATGCATCTCGATCAGCCATAGCCTTGCATCAGTGAGGTTACACGCAATAAGGTGTTCCAGAGTATCTTCATCTACTAATGACCAGACACACTTGGCCATGGAACACTCCACCAAAGCATGCTTCCAAGTATCCTCCTCTGAATTGCAAATAGAGCACACATTGGTGTCCGTCATGTTCCGGTTGTGGCTGACCGAACCTGCTGGTATAGAGTTCTTCGCCCTCAAGGCCGGAACCACCTCAGCTCAGCTGCCGGAGGGATGCGCAGCTCCCTCTGTCCCCCATGAGTCAATGCCGTTCTCGGCGAGCCGGCCAACCACACAACCAGGTGATCATGTGGCGGCGACGGCCGAAGTTGACAACAGCGGCGCTGGGGCTGAGAGAACGCCCAACTTTGCCACTGCGAAATGCATACGCAGCATCAAGGATTACACACGAATGACTGAAAACTAGTGACAATGTTCACTGGCTGTAAAAAATGTTCCATTATGCAGTAGACCAAAAATAGTACAAGAAACCCATGATGATTCACGAGTTTCCATAATTTGCAAGACAGCACACAGCTTGTGCAAGATTGTTGTTTGTGCTTAACCTCCGGGCTCAAAATCGTGCCCTCGCCGAGTGCACTAGCAGCTGATGGTCCTACAAGACATGAGGGTAAGGGCTGCGGACACGTTCTCCGCCATCGCTAGTCTGTGGCTCAAAGCTTCTCCAGAACTATGCACCAGTTCGATTTGTCGTAGAATTGGTCGGTGATGGCTGCATTTTTCATGCCAGCAACTAGCCTGGAATGATGACACAACAAACGCAGCATGTTATTTTCAAACAGAAGATCATAGCTGAAGCAAAATAAAAGCAGATGATGCATGCCACTTTCTATGTTTAATAGGCAATAATAATGCAGTAACATGATAACAGCATGGGACCGAATGAGCCATAAGATGGTAGCGATGGGTCACCCTTCCTGGAAAAATCTTTACTCAAGAAAGATACAACGAAAGAACGCCATAGCCATCAAATCGCATGTAAAGCTCATATTTACCGTTTTGTCGCGCAATTGTTTGCGTAACCAAATGAGCATGTAGATATGCACAAGTGTACTGTATGGTACTACTATCTAGAGCAAAAGTTAGATCTTCTGTGACATCTCTGAACAAATATAGGATGATGTGACTTACTCCCTCCGTATCAAAATGTAAGACGTTTTGGTAGGCCAGTTTAGCCTGCAAAAACGTCTTATATTTTGGTACAGAGGTATTAGTTCTCAAATTAAAGCTATGAAGTAGGAAGTCTGTATGATATCTCTAGTATGGCGATTAAAAAAATATGACATCACTTAATATCTTCACTTGTGCAGGTTCACGAATAAGAGGAGTAAAACAAAAGAAGCATTTTTCATGTCAATGTTCAGGTTAAGAATACTCCACCTTTGAAGTTCTCCTTCGACAAAAATGTGATAATAACGGTTGTAGACCACAGTGCCCTTCTTATCATCTTTCTTTGCCAATCCATTCTGTAGAGCAACAGCAGATGCGCCGCCAATTTCTGCTCGGTGAAATGGTAGATGCCAAGGAACAAAGTACTCCTGCTGGGTTTTGTCATGCTCATCCATAATTAAGGTCTTATCCTCCAAACCATCAAAACTATTTTTCAGCTGATCATCTGTTTGCTTGATGGCGCGCATGTCTTCATCAGTCTCTTCAATGCTATCTAGCGTAGTAGCAGATTTGTTACGCACCATGGGACTGCTGGGATCAACCCACTCTTCATTATACTTGTCGCACAAGGGAGTCCACTTGTTAAGAAGCGACTTGTCTTCCTGCTCCACAGCCCAGACAGTGATCAGCACAAGACCCCCCCTCTTGACAACACGGATCAACTCCTCTATGGCTTTCCTCCGCCTGTCCTCGGTACTCAGATGATGCAACACCGCAATCGAAATCGCGGCGTCAGCAACACTTTCCCTGTACGGGAGGTTGACGGCATCAGCGACAAACACCTCGTGCCCCCTCCCCGCGCATATCTCTATAAGCGGCGGGCTTATATCGCAGCCTATGTAGAAGCATTCGGGATTGAAGCCCAGGTACTTGCCGTTGCCGCAGCCGGCATCCAGCACGACGGACCCTGGCCTCAGCGAGTTCAGGAACCCCGCGACCTTGGGCCACTTGGCGAACCGCGTGGAGCTGAAGTGAGGGGCTATGGCGTCGTAGACGCGGTGCACGTACTTCTTCTCGATGTCCGGGGTGGACTGGACACCTGGGGAGCAGCCGCGGTCCTTCCCCTCGGCGAGGGGTGCGTCCTGGCCTTCCGAATTTCCATCACCAGACCTCATTGGATTGCTGGTGCTAATGGTAGTAATACCTCGGTAAGCTGGGCTACAACGAGAGAATTGCCCCGGATGATGCTTCGAGCTACTCGGACGCGATGCGGAGGTGGCGCGGCGAGGGCTTCTTGCTGCTATCCTCGAAAATATCTGGATCATGCAACGATGACGACGGATTGTCGCCGAGTCCGCGAACACCTCCTGACCCCCGACGAGCCCCCGTCGTCGGCCGTCGGCTGCGGCGTTCCTGTCAAGAGTGCGTTAACTTGGTTACTCGAGCTGTTGAGCGCCTGGACGAACCGCAGAGGCCATACATACTTCAGGTGAGCAGATCTAAAGAGGAACTAACCACGACGCCATACTTCTGCGAGCAGATCTAAAGAGGGGAGGAGGGGAGAGGAAGGCATACCTGCTGCCGGCGTGGCACGGCGAGGAAGGAGGCGGGGGAGACCGCTCGGACCTAGGCGCCCGCGGTGAGAGAGGAGGCGCCGGAGGTGATCGGGGGCGACTCCGGGGGGCGGGTGGGAGGCGGGGCTGCCGGCGGCGATTCGGGCTTGGATGCAGGCGGGGATGACGATTTCGGTAGCGCCAGGGAGAAGGTGCGCGGTGGGTTGTTGGATTTTGTTGTATTGGGCTTCTTCTGCTTACTGGGGCATGGCCTTTAATTTATTTTTTTACATGGCCTTTATGGCGGTGTAGTGCGCGGCCCACCGGCCACACAAACTCCACTACACGGGAGCACAGTCATGTTTTTTTTTCAAAAAAAAAAGAATTTTTTTACTTTCTTCTCCTTAAAAAAATGTGTTTTCACTTTCTTTGTTTCCTCTCTTTTTTTTTGAGGGGCCCTCTTCTTCTTTTTAAAACAAGAACAGACGACCCATTTCCCAAGCTACATACATATTACCTCCTTTCGAAAATAACCGATGTGGTTTTAGTTTAAATTTGAACCACGCCAGTTATTTCCGAACAAAGGGAGTGTATAAATAGGAGCACCTATACTGCTATACATCAGGCACCTGGAATTTTTATTTGCACCACTCACTGTCACTTTTAATCAGGACCGTTAGATCTTTATCGTATGGCCAAAAAGTCAAAAACAGACCATGCACTGTTCATCTTCAACCCCCTCTTCTTCATCACTCAGTCCCGCTCGTCGTGCGGTGCTTATTTTCAACCCTCCCTCTTCTACTTCATCACTGGCTCACACTCATATACGGCCCTCCCTCTTCTACTTCATCACTGGCTCACACTCATATACGGCTAGGCTTCACGTGGCCGGCGCTATCACCGCCTTCGGCCTCGTGCTACCCTAGAAAAAGTGATTCTTTCAGGTACCAGATGTTTAGCAAAACCGTATATATATTCCAATGGTACAATATATCTGTTTTACATGGCAAACAGCAGCGCTAAAAAGAATCGGTATAATGTCAAACATGGCCAAAGGAAAAATGAAAAGATGGTTGTTTCCACATTACAATTTACACAACAGCAAGCATCCAATCCATTCCTTGACTCCTGCACACACTTGCTACAGCAGCAACATCCCAAGGAGGAACCTTTACTCCCAGCCAGTTTCTAGATCGAGTTTCAATGGCTCCAGGAACTGGATGTCAAAATGAATACACACCGCGCCGTGGACGCAACAAAAGCATAAGAGAAATTCTACAGCTAGGTGCATCGAACATCACCAGGGGGGTGCCGTATCACAGTATGGTGCATCCGCATCTGTTCTGCTTGGGGGAATTGCCCAGCTGCTTCTCTGAAAAGAACAAATCCAAAAAAGCAAAATTATAGGTTGTTTAGAAGCGTCGATAAATTGTGTGACAGTTTTAAGCATCACATAATTGCAATGATATGGTAAAACCAACTATTTTGCATATAGTAATCCATGCGTGACCAGATAGATACCTAATGCACTTTGTACTTACAACATCATTACTGTCTCAACAGTTGCAAAACGAAGGATATAAGTCCATTAAACCCCCTTAGCTATATCTCTAAACAGATTTTGTAACATATGCTTTTTGTTGGTATTCATTATTCTCTCTCTCCTTTCCATAGATAAATAGTCGGGAATGCTACAAATCTGACGTCAGATTTTTAAGCATGGCAAATTATGTTGTCGCGAGGATGGCAAATTCCTTTAGCAAGCATGGCAATTCCTGGCAAAATACTGAACATGGCAAGGATTTGTCATGTTTGTTAAAGGAAAATGCCATCCTCATGACAACATAATTTGCCATCTTGGGCGTTCAATTTGTCATGCTAAAAAAATCTGACATTTGATTTATAGCGAAATCTTTAATTTTCACATGACTGGCCCACGGATGTGACAACATCACTCTTGTAATTATACTTTTCAAATTCCGAACATGCAAAAACAAATTTAGCCAATTTGGCAGAACTCCCTAAATCACTAAAGGACTGAAAAAACTATCAGTACCACTAAATCTTCATAATACCATGTGCTGTTTAGTCACTGTTTATTTGTGCTTCTATCTAAGTACGGAACACTGGCTCAGGACAGAGTTCGAACAGAATTTCCGACTAAAAATATGGTGTGATCAACAATTTTCACTCCATGGAAATAATAAAATGGAAGTAATAAATTTCACTCCATGGAAATAAGTGGGTTCGTCTTGCAGGCTGCAGCATTTGGATTATACAGATTCATGCCTATACGTGTGGATTTCTGAAGCATAGAATCTAAAACGATAGTTGATTGTATCCAACAATTTTCATTCATTGAATTTAACAGAATGTAAGAGATCATTACAGAACCAGGAACACAATGTGAAAGAAAAGGCGTAAAATTGTCGGCAATACCACGGTTTTTGTCAACTTGTGGAGGGCGCACTACCACATGCATTGTAATTACACCTCCAGGGACCTCTCCTATTGTAACACGCGACTCGGCAAGTGTCCGGTTATTCTCCAATATCTTTCCACCATTGATGAGCTTCAGGTCATTGACAGTTTTTGGAGTTATTTCCTTATCTGTCATCAGAAATGACAAGAACAATTCCTTTAAATAAAATAAACTAGGATTCCGGTAAGCATAACATGTTCAGATTATGGAGCGAGTTTACAAAAGAACCAATCCACATAAATTCGAAGTCAAAATCAAAATCAAGCAAGGTGCCTTAGAAAGAAGAGAAAACATGCCATTGCACTATTGCGAGTCATAATGCAAATTAAGCCCTGGGAAAATCAGAATAAATTCAAACATCCCACAGAAAGATGACATACAATGATGGTTGTGATTAGCTTCCATATGTTCGGGTTAATAAGTACCCACACCATGAACCGATTGTTTCTGGGAGCTAATTCAGCTCGGAAAGGATTCAATTTTACTTGTTCTAGTCATTCACTCCCTAGTGTATAATCGGATAACTTTAAACAGATCGTTAGGCATAATGAATCCTATGGAGAATGGCCCTGCTATCATATTCATGCAAAGGACCTCGGTTCGTGTAAAGATGGAGAGACAACTGCTTATATATTGCTAGCTCAATTCTGTTCGCAGAATGCAAGAGAACAAACAGGCACTCTAAAGTCACACCGCGGCTTCTCTGCATCTCCATAGGGACTTATTTGTCCCCTGATTGTCCCTTCGTTCGATTGTTGCCAAAAAATTGATCTTCCCGGAATTCTGCCACAAACTTTGGCAAAATCATAGTACCATTTTGACAGTACTCACTGTCCGTGAGAGTTTTTCTATAGGTATGCATACACATAAACTGAGAAGGGGAATTATCAACTGGCCGTTTATATAGTTTACCCAGTTCTAAAGCAGTGTTGAAGCCGAGGGGAGGTGGGAAATGATGCCGCAGTCATGTGTTACTCGAGAGAAGAACAACTAATCAGGCACACCAACAACACGTATCTGCCGCGAGCAAGGCTAGAACTGCGCGAGCACCACGCAACAACCATAAAAATAGAAAAATAAAAGCTATACATGATCCCCGAAGGCCGAAACTTCGTGGCAGCAGGAGCTACAGACGCGCGCATCTTTTCCCGTCACCGACTCAAGCAAGCGGATCAGGAGGCCGGCCAAATCGAGCGGAGGGAATCTGCGTCTCACCTTGCGGCCACCGGGCGAGGATGAAGTCCTTGAGCGCGGAGACGGTGGTGGCGGGGTCGTACTTGCTGGGGCCGATGTCCGTGCCGTCGAAGAGCCGGAACTTGACCTCGATCGGCTCCTTCCCGCCGGCCATCTCCGGGCCGGCTCACCGCCCACCGCCCACCACCCACCTTCCTCCTCCCAAGATCCGAGAGGCCCCGGATCAGAAGTCCATGGCGCAGAAAGGGCCGCACGGAATCCACCCAAATCGGCCCGGGGTCGGATTCTTGCGAGGAATTCTTGCTTCCGTCCGGGGGGGTGAAAGCGAGGGGACGGCGACTCGGCGAGGGGGAGGGGGGGGAGGGGGAGGGTGGTGGCGGAGGGAGAAGACAAACAGAGACCGGGGCTAGTGGCCTCCTCCTCGCTACTTTAACTGGTGCTCGAACCCAAAAAAATCTCTTCTTTCCGGCCACCGTACGAGTTTCACGGGATTTTGAAAGATCGCTCAGAAACAGTAGCCCAACTGCATCGAGGATTTTTTCAATCAATCAGACCAAAAAAAAGTCAATTATGCATAGTAAGTGACGGAGGGGAAAATTTTTAGTCGGGAGGAAACGATGATCGGGATGGACGGACGCGGATTTCTGTCTTGGTGGCTTGACTGCGTCTATGGCTCTACGATACATCGATGCTCTATGCTATATTGGTCTACACCAATATTCTACCACCAATAAAATGGTTTGAATCGAAGTCACATTATGTCACTATGTGTCTGATTGGTACTACAAGATTTAATCCACACTTCGTCAATCAAGAAATTGAAAAGGACAAACATGATGCCAATGGCAGCTCCATTTACTATTCAGGGCAAATTTTGAATGTCAAACTACCGTGTGTACGAGATATCGCGGTCCGATATGTGTACGATGCTAAATCCAATGGTCGGATGTACTCCCGTTCCACGCACCAATGGAGGTGTATCGTATTCAGCGCAAATTTGGAATGACAAACTACCCTACATTCCCAATGATGGTGTTGTATAAAAATCGGAATGGAGGTGTCGTATGCATAGCAGGGCTCTTTCAAATGTGATGTTAGGCACAATGAAATTTGTCCTTTTCCTTTGGGTGTGGGTCGAGTTTACATTAATTTTTTTTAGATTGTAGATTTATATATTGCCAACAAAAAAATACCAGAAGATTTGTGAACCTCAACTATTTCAATCATGGTTAAAACTTACATATATTATACTGTGCTTTTGTTTGAAGACCCGTATATTAATCAAGAAAAATAATAGCACCAAACGGAATTTCACGAATGATTAAATGTTCCGTTTTTACAAAAATATAAAATAGAACTTAGCAATATCATGGGCTACCCTCCAGGCATTCGCCCGCTTGAATTTCGGTACTAGCAGTTTCACAACTTCAAGCATAATTGACTTTTTTTTGTCTGATTTATTGAAAAAAATCCTCTTGATACATAAATTGGTCGTTGTCAAAGAAAATGTAGAGTACCGGCCGCAACTATTTTTATTGTCTAGTATAAAACTAGCGACACGTCTCTTCGTCCGAATATATGTCTCTTGTGCTCAGGCAGGAGTATTTGTATTTTCCCGGATAACGACCTATCGACATCCTCATTCTATTCATTGAAAGAAAAACATCCCCATTATACTGTGTGCTGTGATTAGGTCCGTTATTTGGACTTAATTTGGAGCAACTAACACAATTGTATAGCTCTAATTTGATGACCAGGAGATGCACGCACCTACTAAAACAGTTCTACACACATTTGTTTGATTTTTTTTTCTCTGTCTTTGCGGTACGTTATGATGACAGCAATAAACAGGATCTCAATTAGCAGAAATAAGTTGTTGTACAGTGCATTTCTCTCTTCTTAGCAACCAAAGCGCTATTAATTAAAGCGCTTGCATGCTGTACACAACAAAACTCCAACCTTTATTGATGACAAAATACCAAGAAAATTCCACTGAACAAACATAATTTTCGCCGCCGGCCAACCTTTGACTATGCACCAACTTGCACTGAATGATGTAAGCCGTTGTTCTTGGATGGCGCTGGTTTCAAATGGCAAAAACCACCGATGTGTCGTGCAGCGGAGCTCTAGATTCCTTGCTACTGCCTGCCTTTTCTCCTCCGCCATCAAGCAATCATGGAGGGATGGAGGCAGTGCGAGCAAAGTCTGAAGAATCTTCAAGGAAAATTAAAACAGTAAATTTGTAGATACCCTCTCTGTAAAGAAATATAAAAGTGTTTAAACGGAGACTGTAGGTGTCTATCTATTTCCAGTCAGAATCTTTCTGTCGAAACTATCAAGGGATCTTATGTTATTGTTGCTTGATGTGACAGGATATTAAATTGTTGATATTGAAGGAAAAAACTGAATTCCATTCCTCGTGGTTTCATGATTGGATGCACATGCCGCTCCACTAGCGGCTCCCTTTTCTTGATTCCCAAATGATTTGCCCTGGATGATTGATTATCTCGCACAATCTCCAGGTCGTTGTTCGGTGGGCAAACATGCTTTGCTCTGTAGGAGGAGATATGCCATTAACTTCTTCTCTGAGGAAGTGAGGATGTTTGCTGCTCATACTAGCAGCAGTGCGGACTGTGCAGTGGTGCAGCCATTGGATGGACCTACTGTTCATACTGTCGATGATATGAGTATAACTGCCTCGAGAAATAGGTAAGAATTCCTTCGTTTACCGGTAAATGAATAGGAATCAGGTTCATAAAACCAGAACTGTTTCCGCCTTCCTCTCGAACTGAGCTAGCTATTTACTGACGCCTGGAAAAGAAAAGAATGGTAGACGCATTTGGCAGGAATTTTAAGTGAACCTTTCTCAGATGACTGTAGAATAATTCGTAAAATGTATAGCCTGCATCAGTTCTCTGAGGATACAAACGCCGCTAAAAGATAGGTGGATGGATGGACAAACAGACAGACAGACTGCGACGGGTTTGGTGATCCACCGCCGCAAGCAGGCTTCGTGGCGGCCGGAGCAAGGGGATGCTAATGGAGTGCTGCTTTACTTGCCGCTCGAACAAGTGTCGACGGAGAGGAGGAGTGAGCTTTATCGCTGTCAGGCGTCAGCCCGGGAACAGAGTGGAACACCTCGACCTAGTGCTTTAAAAAAAACTAATTTAGTGCTTTTGCCACAGTTCAATCTTCAGAATGAAATGGAAAATGCCGCGGGCCTGTGGATCGTGTGGTACCTGCAAGGGCTCAAAATTTGGGCCGAACTGAACGTGCTCATTTTTGTAGTTTCTCATGCCTTCTCTCTAGAGCTTAGAGCAACTCTAGTAGACCCCGCATCCGTCCCAGACCCGTAAAATAACCGTCAAAATGCGGGTGCGGGCCGGAAAGCCTGCCCGACCAGACCCCACATCCCGTCCCGGTCCGCAAAAAATTTTAAGAGGCGCGGCAAATTTCCGGCTCCAACCCGAAAAAACGCGGGTTTCCTCCTCGCGGCTGCGGTGCCCTGCATCACAGAGAAACAGTTGGCGGGAAGGACATCTCAGCCCGCGCTCTTTTCCCCCTTCCTTCCGCCGCCGCCTGCCCTTGCTTCCGCCCGCCGCCGCCGGCGATTCTGGCCATATCTGCGGGCGGAATCGCTCCGCGGGGCCGCCCCACACCCTCCCGCGCCGAGCCGCTGCACCGCCCCTCCGGATCCAGCGAGAAGAGTCGCCCCCCAGTCGTCGCCGCCGCTGGGATCGACCACCGCCGCACACCACCCTCGTCACCGCCCGGGATCACTCGCCACCGGTTAGTCCCCTTTTTATGATTTTCGCGAGCTGTGTAGTAGATTGACGTGCCGGCGTGCGTGTAGATGGAGTTGACCCCGTGCGAGAAGTTCTTGCTATCCGATTCGTCCGATTCGGACGACTCGGATGTGGAGACCATGCTTGCGACTTTTCGGCAGCAAACATTGGTCATGGCGCTTGCCGTGAAGGAGCATGAAGACGAGTACCGAAAGAGGAGCGAGGATCTACTGTCGGGCGTCTGTGCATTCCGCGGAATCGCCACCTTGGAAACAAGATGTTGATGCAAGATTATTTTTTGGAGAATCCTACATATCCTGCACACCTCTTCCGCAGAAGGTACCGAATGCGCCGATCCCTTTTTGTGAAAATTGTTGAAGCTTGCGAGGCAAATTGCCGGTATTTCACTCAGAGAAGGAATGCCGCGGGCTTAAAGGGATTTAGTGCATATCAAAAATCTCCGCAGCTATGCAGGTGATTGCATATGGCGTCCCGGCTGACTATGCCGATGAGTATCTTCGCATTGGTGAAGATAGCACGATTGGGTCTGTGCGTAGATTTGCGAAAGTGATCGTCCGTGTGTTTGGTCCCGAATATCTTTGGGCACCAAATGAAGATGACACAAAGAAATTGATGGCAGCTAATGTGACGCCCCCGATTTGACCGTACACTAAACATACACGCAAACATGTACGATCAAGATCAGGGACTCACGGGAAGATATCACAACACAACTCTACAAATAAAATAAGTCATACAAGCATCATATTACAAGCCAGGGGCCTCGAGGGCTCGAATACAAGAGCTCGATCATAGACGAGTCAGCGGAAGCAACAATATCTGAGTACAGACATAAGTTAAACAAGTTTGCCTTAAGAAGGCTAGCGCAAACTGGGATACAGATCAGAAGAGGTGCAGGCCTCCTGCCTGGGATCCTCCTAACTACTCCTGGTCGTCGTCAGCGGGCAGCACGTAGTAGTAGGCACCTCCGGTGTAGTAGGAGTCGTCGTCGACGGTGGCGTCTGGATCCTGGGCTCCAACATCTGGTTGCGACAACCAGGTAGAAGGGATAGAAGGAAAAGAAGGAGAAGCAACCGTGAGTACTCATCCAAAGTACTCGCAAGCAAGGAGCTACACTACATATACATGGGTATATGTGTAAAGGCAATATCGGTGGACTGAACTGCAGAATGCCAGAATAAGAGGGGGATAGCTAATCCTGTCGAAGACTACGCTTCTGGCAGCCTCCGTCTTGCAGCATGTAGAAGAGAGTAGACTGAAGTCCTCCAAGTAGCATCGTATAGCATAACCCTAACCGATGATCCTCCCCTCGTCGCCCTGTGAGAGAGCGACCACCGGTTGTATCTGG